AAACCCACCTAAAAAGGGTTTAGAACCTGACCTGGTATAGCGTGCGTAATTATACTGAAACATAAATATATAACCAGTTTACCTGATTCAATGTGATGGCTGAGCCTGTTTCTGAGATAACAACATGCCAATCCGTGGTTGGATTTCCGACATGGCTAATCGTAAATCATTTTACACTGTCAATAAGCGTGACCAGGGTTGCCAGGTCTTCACAACAAAAGTGGTACCATGTACCGCCTAATTGCTACTCAAAACTAGCCCAAAACTACAAAAAAAGTGTTAAAGTAGCCCAATTCCGCGGGAAAACCACGGACTTGGCAACACTGAGCGTGACTGATACTCGAGCCAACTCTGCTCTAACTGTCCACTAGCAGTGGGACTCAGATTGCCCCCTAGTGGATGGCTAAAGATTTGTTAACTCATATTCATAAATTCTCAAGGGAACGTCTCTGAATTAACTGATGGTCGCGCCCCCCTTGACAGGTGCTGGCGCCCCCACAGGTTGAAAACCCCTGGTCTAGTGGATAAATGTGACATGTAAGCACTTGATATGGTCAGATGGCATTTGTTGTTGTTGTTATTAATTGTAGTCAAGCAAACAAAAGTCTTTTAATATAATTCTTCCAAAGAGAAGCTGAATTTCACAACAGCTTCAAATGAAGCTCATCCAATCAGCATCTTGTGTGTGTTTGGTTTTATCTTGTTTTATGTAATTATATGATAATAATGAAAATGTGGTAATGATAATTCTGTTATTTTGTCTAGTGGTATCATGAGGCTGGGACTAAACGCCATTTTAGGAGCCACTGGGAGCGGGAAATCATCGTAAGAGCTATCTGTCTTTCCATCCGTCCATCTGTCGCTGTCCGTCTGTCTGCCCATCTATCTGTCTGCCTCTGTCTGTCTGTCTGTTCTTCCATCTGTTCATCTGTCCGTCTGTCTGTTCATCCATCTGTCTATCTCTGTCTGTTCATCCTTCTGTCTGTCTGTCTGTCTGTTCATCCGTCTGTCTCTCTGTCTGTCTGTTCATCCGTCAGTCTGTCTGTCAGTCTGTCTCTCTGTCTGTCTGTCTGTCAGTCTGTCTGTTCTTTTGTTTGTCTCTCTGTCTGTCTGTCTGTCTGTCAGTCTCTATGTCTGTCCGTCT